TTTTTTTATTTATTGTAGAGATGAGGTCTCACCAAGTTGCCCAGGCAGGTCTCGAACCTGAGCACTGGGATTACAGGCTGAGCCACTGAGCCCAGCTTAATGTTTTTCATTTATTGTAGAGATGAGGTCTCGCCAAGTTGCCCAGGCTGGTTTCAAACCTGTGGGCTCAGGTAGTCCTCTCACCTCAGCCTCCCAATGTGCTGGGATTATAGGCGTGAGCCACTGTGCTCAGCCAAGGAAATACTTTTCAACAAAATCAAAATCAGGTATTTCAAGCTGGAGTGATCAAGCTCTAAGGAAGATAAATAAATGAGGCCAGCATTGCAGTGGACATGACCTTTGCCCTAAGCAGACTCTGTTTCCTTTTTGAAGCTACAGATTGTGTAATCAATGTCTAAATGACCCCCAGTTTGCAGATGAGGAAAAACTGAGGCACAGCAGTTAAGTAACTTGTCTGACATCTCAAAATTAGTAAGTGACAGAGACAACATTTTCCTCTAATTTTCTATACTCCAGCCTGTACACTCTCAAGTCTGGGAAGAGAAATTGGACCAGGTAGTTTGGGCATATCCTTTCCCTCATACAGCTCCCTAGGCCACAGATGTCATGTGTCATGGTGAGTACTTTGCTACTGCAATGCCCAGACATTCTTTTGGTTAAAGCATTCTGGGTCCGGGTTCGAGACCCGCCTGGGCAACTTGGTGAGACCTCATCTCTACAATAAAAAAATCAAAAATTAGCTGGGCATGGTAGTGCATGCCTGTAATTCTGGCTACTTGACAGGCTGAGGCGGAAGGATCTCCGGAGCCTGGCAGGTTGAGACTGCGGTGGCCGGGAGCGGCCACTGCACTCCAGTCTGGGCAACAGAATGAGACTCCAACTCAAAAAAAACAAAAAACAACAAAAAAAAAGAATTCTGGGTCAGGTGTGATGGCTTCCACCTGTAATCCCAGCTGAGGCAGGAGGATTGCTTGGGTCCAGGAGTTTGAGACTAGTCTGGGCAACAGAGCAGGACCTGTCTCTACAAAAAATCAAAAAAATAAGCCAGGCATGGTGGCACACAGCTGTAGTCCCAGCTACTCAGGAGGCTGAGGCAGAATGATCGCCTGAACCCAACAGGTTGAGGCTGTGGTGAGCCATTGATTGTGCCACTGCACCCTAGCCTAGGCAACAGAGTGAGACCCTGACTTAAAACAAACAAAAAGATGCTGTAGTTCTTTCAACCGACTATGGGCTTTTAGCAGGAAGCGTAAACTAGGAGACAGAGTTGATTATCTTTTTTTTTTTTTCTTTTTGGATTAGAAGTCTCTGTCACCCAAGCTGGAGTGCAGTGGCACGCTTATGGCCACTGCAGCCTTGACCTGCTGGGCTCAGGTAATCCTTCCACCTCAGCCTTCCAAGTACCTGGAACCACAGGTGTGTGGAACCACAATGCCTGGCTAACTTTTGGATTTATTGTAGAAATGAGGTCCCACCAAGTTGCCCAGGCTGGTCTCGAACCCCTAGGCTCAGGCAGTGCTCTCATCTTGACCTCCCAAAGTGTGGGGATTACAGGTGTGAGCCACCGTGCCTGGCGATTATCTTTATTGTTTGTGAACCAAAACACTCCAGGCCAGTAAGATTGCATGCTCTATTAGGGTAGGATCCAAGCCCTCAAATTCTATATATTTAGTTCAGCGCAGTGCTGAGCACACTACATTCAAAGAAATTTATGATTTTTTTTTTTTTTTTTTTTTTGAGTTGGAGTCTCACTCTGTTGCCCAGACTGTAGTGCAGTGGTCGCTCCCGGCCACTGCAGCCTCAACCTGCTGGGCTCTGGGGATCCTTCCGCCTCAGCCTTCCAAGTAGCTGGAACTACAGGCGCGCGCTACCACACCTGGCTAATTTTTGACTTATTGTAGAGATGAGGTCTCGCCAAGTTGCCCAGGCAGGTCTCGAACCCATGGGCTCAGGCAATTCATTCATCTCAGCCTCCCAAAGTGCTGGGATCACAGGTTGAGCCACCGAGTCCAGCTGATTTTTTTTTTCTTTGAGTTGGAGTCTCACTCTATCACCCAGGTTGTAGTGCAGTAGATGCTCACAGCCACCACCGCCTTACTGCTGGGCTCAGGTGATCCTTCTGCTTCAGCCTTCCAAGTAACTAGAACTATAGATGTGCACTACCACTCCTGGCAAATGTTTTATTGTAGAGATGAGGTCTTACCACGTTGCCCAAACTGGTCTTGAACCCGTGACCTCAGGCAGTCCTCTCATCTCAGCCTCCCAAAGTACTAGGATTATAGGCGTGAGCCACCACACCCGGCCAAAACTTAAGATTTTAAAAGGGTAGGTCCTCCACTGCAAAAGGTCTTTCAGGGATGAAACAGGGAGTTGGTGATTCTGGGGACTGGGGTCTGATGAGAAACAGGGTGACATGAGAGTTTTCCTCTGAAAACTCATTTCCTACCAAGACAGAAGGCATTTCCTAAGTCCCTTGCTTCTGCCCCACAGCTCCTTCAGGATACTGAAAAGGCACCCTGACGTACTAAAGACAGGATGGGGAAGGGTACTCTGGCTTTAAAGTCCCAGCATTCACAAGTAGTACCTCCCTCTCCATCCACTGACCTGCACCCCCCAGAAATTTGCACTAAAGGTTCATGTAAATTATCTCCTCCATGGATACTCCTGTCCTCCTTCCCCAAGGCATCTGTTTTGTTTGTTAATTCCCTTTGGTAACTGGTTTTACAGCTCTGTTAGCAGTTGTTTCCTGTGTTTATTTCATTATATAGGAAAAAAATGGGAGAACTCTAAGTGGGCCAGAGGGGTTAGAAAAATGATGCCTGGGCCTGGCGTGGTGGCTCATGCCTATAACCTCAGCACTTTGGGAGGCCGAGGTGAGAGGATTGCCTGAGCCCATGGGTTGGAGGCCAGCCTGGGCAACTTGGTAAGACCTCATCATGACAATAAATCAAAAAATCAGCTGGGCATGGTAGCGCATGCCTGTAGTTCCAGCTACTTGGAAGGCTTAGGCGGAAGGATCGCTTGAGCCCAGTAGGTAGCAGCTGCGGGGGCCATGAGCATTCCACTACACTCTAGCCTGGGCAACAGAGTGTGACTCCGACTCCAAAAAAAGAAAAGAAAAATGATGCCCGTTTTCCTTATAGCCACATGCAATGAGCTTGTTAATCCTTGCCCCTATCTTCCCAGTGTTGTCCCTAGGGTGAGTCCCTGGTTGGAGGAGTCCTGCCTGAAGCTAGAGCAACTAAGGGGCCCTGGGATGATTCCAGGGCCCCCAGAATACATTAGGGCCACCACACCAACTACTGTCATCCCTGGGGAGGTACAGGAGAAGGTGGGGGAGAGGAAATAAGGCAGAGAGGAGCTCAGGGTCCCCAGAGAATGGGGCCTTTGTGTGGGGTACAGATGAGGGACAAGGGGGCGATTGTGTGGGAGGGCCGGAAGTGCCACACAGACTGGCACCACCATAGCCAGCACCAGATTCAACCCTCTCCTGCTCCGAGAACTCCCTGTGCCCCCAGGGCCTGGTCGCAGACATGATCAGGGAAAGCAGGGTACACCTGAAGGCTGGAAGGGAGGGTGTACAGCCAGGGGAAAATGACAGCCTCTCCCCCTCACCACCACCATGATCCCAGAGCCAGGGAACAGGAGGCAGAAGGAAAAAGACAGAAGCAGCTTTTACTATATTTACATCCAACAAAACTTTTCAAGGAACAATCCTTATTGCACAGGTCAGGGCCTGGGTGGGAGAGGCATTCCCCAAGGAGGGGTGGACAAGGATAGGAGTGGAGGGGGCACCAGTTCTTCCTAAGGGGGCTTGAGACTCCTCTAGCTCCCACGGCCTGACTTTCAAGTCCAGAGTGCCCATTTCTCTTCTCTTTCTTACTCTCCTTAAGAGCCTTATAAGCAAGGGGGCTGTGGTTCCAGAATAAATAACTTAAAATAAAATACAAACACTATGGTAGAAAGGCATGGAGAGCCTTGGGCAACTTCAGCAATGGTAGGGAAGAGGGACCATCACTGTGGGGAACGGCATCCCTCCCGTTCAGGGCAAAGGCTCAGTAGCTCTGTATCCTTCCAGTTGTTTTTTAAAACAAAAACTTCTAAAATGACCAGGGCAGTGCAGATCTGTGGTACCCTGGAGGAGCGTTCCTGCTACAGGACAGGGGAGGAGCAGAGCTGGACCAATTCCCCCAAAGCCCCCAACATCAGAGCATGAACAGACTGGGCAGGTGGGAGACAGGGGAACTGTGACTTTTGGTAACAGTGGGTCCCTCTTTCTGCTGCTCCCACTTGGAACCTCTGGCTGGGCAGCTTTCTGGCCTGTTCCCAGCTCCTTTGCTAAGGGCCCAGGGAAGTGAGTATCTCTAGAATCCTCCTCCCCTCCCCAACCGGGCTGGAGAGGGACACACAAGGGGCTCTAGCATTCCGGAGGTGCTCCAAAACATTTCCGGCAATCAATGGCCTTGGGAGAGGGCATCTGTGCCCGCCGCTGTCTCAGCTCCTCCTTGCCCATGGTGCTGGCCAGCTTGTTAAAGGCAGACTTGTACTTCTTATCGAAGGCCACTAGGGGAGAGGGAGGATGCCAAACATCAGGAGCCCAGCCTCACACAGCTGGCCCCAGATCCCTCAGGTCCTCAGCCCCGCCTGCTCCTTCACCTATGTCCACGTGGTCCTTGCCCAAGGCAGCCATTGTCAGGAATAAGATCTCTCGGTAGATGCCCCTGCAGTAGAGGCAGAAGGATACATTCGAGTGAGAGAAAAGGGGTGCAGAGCCCCGCGCAGGCCAGGGGTCACCCAGATGGACACACATACCGCTGCAGGTGCAGGCCCGTGGGCGGGGGCCCTAGAGTCTCCAGCAGGAGCCCCACAGCCTTATGCACTTCGTTGAGGCCGACGTGGCGCAGCACCGACTCCAGCAGTGCCAGGCTGAGGGATGCAGGCACTGGGCCCGGCCATACCACCCGCTGGGGAATCTGGCCTGGATGCAAGGAAGGAAGGTCACAAGGACCACGGAGCCTCTGGGCATGGGGCCCACCCCTCCCACCCAGGCTAAATACCGACTCACTATGGACCCTCCAGAGCACATAGAGAGGTGGGCAACTGTTGGGGTCAGGGGTCAGTACGTCCCACAGCAGCCGTACTTGCACAGAGGCTGGGTCAGGGGTCAGCCAGGGAGATGGGGCCTGCGGAGCCAAGACAGAGAGACAGTTATGGTCATGGAATGGGAGGCAAAGGACAAGAAATGGACAGGGGCTGTCCAAAAGAGACACAGGGACATCACAGGACACAACCCAAGAGAGGAAGGGAAGAAGAAAGGAAATCTCGTCTACCCTCAAGAGCAAGGACTGGGTTTTGTAATCCGCTACCCCCCTAGTGCCTAAAAGCTGTGCCTGGAACCTAAAAGGCGCTCAGTAAATACTGGTGGGATGAACAGACAAATACTAATGGATCATGTTCTAGGTACCAGGCACTACACAAGACGTCTACACACTGCTCTGTGAGGTAGGCATCCCTGCCATTCTACAGATGACAAAACTGAGGCTCGGAGTTATAAAGTGAAAGGGCCAGGAGTCAAACCAGGTCTAGTGGACTCCACGGCCTGTGCTCTTTCTGGCCAAGGACACAGAGGACCACGAGCCGAGAGAGAAAGCAGGAAGTGCTTAGGAAGCAGGGGCTGACCTGGGGGTGCGGGAGCCCATCACAGGAGGCCAGCACCAGGCCTGGTAGAATACTGGGCAGGCGCAGCCGTTGGAAATACCACAGGAGGTTCCAGAAGATGATGGGGTGGGCAGCAGGCAGCTCAGGCAATGCCAGCACCTCACTGCCCTCGTTCTCCACCAGCGACTCCAACTCCTTACGCAGCACCAGGGGGCTCAGGTATGCCCATGCCCCACTCTCGACCCGCCGGGAGGCGCCCTGTCGGGCACAAAGCAGGAGGGCAATGGAGGGTGTGTACCACAGCCCTGTTCCCAGAGTCTTGCCTCCCTCTGAGCCGTTGTATCCAACAGCTTCTGGGATGGCCCTTGCCCTCAACGCCCATCTCTCCCGGTACCCCTCGGACCCCCCCACAGGGCAACACACCCCCATTCCTCAAGCCCTGGGGCCCAGCCCTTACCCCTGTGTGCCCGTTGCAGAGCTGGGGCTCATCCAGAGCGAGGCAGAGCCTGCGGTCACTGAGCACAGGGCCAGGACCCCCAGGGACAGGAGCATCTTTGCTGCCACTGGCACCAGCAGGGGCAGACTTGGGGCTGGGAGCACTGCAGGGGGACAGCAGGAGCGGTCAGCTCTTGGACCGTCACCTCCCTGTCCCACCCGCAGCACTTGACCTGCTTTGGGCACCTGGGCCGGGAATCAAGGGTCTGGACACTGAGCAGGGGCACAAAGGGGCAGGCGCAGAAGGGGCAGGTTGTGTTGAGGTTAGAGTCATCAGGTGCCCAGCCAGCCATGATTTCCTCATCGTACACCAGCGAGTCACAGGCGCGGCACAAGGAGCAGCTGGACAGCAGGATCTGCAGGCGGGGAGAGCGCGGCAGGTCAGCCTGCCTGGCCTCCAGATCCCAGCCCCGCCTCCTTCCACCATCTCCCCATCCCCCTTTTGACAGGGCAACTCTGGGTGGGAGTGTGTTCAAGCACATCTGTGTGGGAGGGGTGATCCTCACTTCCAGGGAAGGTGACTGGAAGGATCCAGGGGTGTCACTGAGGCGCTCGGAGGAACGGCGAAGGCTCAGGTTGCTGAGAGAAGACTCTGAGAGGTCCCACTCACTGCCCAGAGAGGCTGAGCTCTGCCGTTACAGGAGAAAGCATGGTCGGCAGGCCCCGCGCCCTCCCCACCCAGGATGCCTGCTTCAGCACCCCCCCAGGGTCCCCCTTCTGGGCTTTCTCCCAGTTAGCAGCCCCTCCCCAGGCCTCCTAATGCCAAGGCTTCTGGAAGCCCCTCGCTGGCTACCTCGGAGGCAGTGGATCCAGGGCGCTCCCGGGGGCGCAGAAGGCTGTCCATGGGGCTGCGGCGGGCCGCGGGAGGCAGGTCAGGGGGCAGCTCGGGTGGGGCAACGCGAGAGGCAGGGGAACGGCGAGAAGGAGTGAGTAGCTGTTGGAGGCGGGCACCCAGCCCGCGTCGGGGGGTGCCTGTCTCATCCGGTCGCCCACCAGCCTTGGGCCCCCGCCCACTCAGCCCTTCCAGGGTCTCAGTGGACTGGGCACTCAGGGCTGAGCCGGAGCCCCCAGGGCTGCCTCCAGGGGCCGGCTCTTCCCCCGTCAGGCTCAGATCTGAGAGACTTCCATCATGCCAGGGCACAGGTGATCCCCGGGGCTCCAAGACCCCTAAGGCCTCAATCACTGCAGGACAGAAAATCAGAGAAGGTGGAGCCAAGCCCTCGTCCGGCTACCCCTTTCCTGAGTAAAAACAGGTCCTGGCCGCACAAACTCTGGCACCACAACCCTGCCACGATGACATTCTGGGCAAAAATTCCCTCAGAGTCTAAACACCCACCTCAACGGGCCACCCTCCACCCCATCTCTGGTCTTCAGTTCTCTCACTGGCAAGTGGTCAAGAAAGCTGACTGGGGGATCAGACAGGGCACTCACTGTGGGCCACGCCAGCCTCCACAGTGGGCTGTGTCCCTCGGGCACTGCCCAGGCTACCACTCTTCACCAGGCGCCCAGTGGGCGAGGCAGGGTCCCGCAGACTTCGCCCAGCCCATGTCGTCTGGCGCTGAAGGGGGCGGGTGGGAGAGGGGCGCTCCAGAGAGGGCTCTGTAAGAGACAGAGAAGGGGTGTAGGGGCAGCCAGCTAGAACCCAGTCCCCTGTTCCAGAACAGCTCCATGGATGGGCCTGGTGTGCAAGGCTCCTCCTGGGCAGAGCTTCACCCCTGCTGTTACCAGCGAGTGTGGTTTATCTAGCCCCCAACGCCCAAGGCCAACCGCAAGGCCAGCCCGCCCACTCCATGCCCACCCACTCCACCCCCAAGCCTGTCTCACCGGCACCTACCCACCTCTCTGGGAGCCGCCTGCCTCTTGGTGTGCTGACACCTCCTCCTGCTGCTGCTGCTGCTGCCGCCGTTCTCTCAAGGGCTGGCGGAACTGAGCCGCCCCCAGGACAACATTCCGGAGCTTGGCCCACCGCAGGCGCCCGCCCGGTGTGCCAGACGGCCACTTGCTTTCCAGCACAGCCTGCCAAGCACAGTGCCCATCAGGTGGCCACACCCACCCCAACCCCAGCCTGCCACTCACTTCCTATGCTGCATCCCCAGGAACCACCTTCCCCTCCAGAATTCCCGCCTAGGACTGTCCTGCCAAGGGCTCGGCCAGAACAAGAGCCCAGTAGAGGCAGCTGGCGGCAGCTGCCTCCCAGGAGACCTGCAAGAAGCCAGAAGCAATGAAGACAATTTGTATCCAGGCTCTGCTACTTTTATAAACTACACAGCCTTGAAGAAATTTCATTTTTCTGGTCATTAGTTACATTATCTAAAAAGCAGGAAGCATTTCTGTGTCTGGTAAAGAGCCTGAGCTCAGGAAATCAGGTACACCTGTGCTCATATCCTGACACCCTAACTTCTTCACTGTGGGACCTTGGACCAGTCACTAACTCTGCAATGTCATCTCATCTATACGATGGGGATAATCACTTCACCTCACGGGGCAGATGTGGAGATGAGGTCAAGAGTGTAATGTGTGCTGGGCTCGGTGGCTCAGCCTGTAATCCCACGCCTTTGGGAGGCTGAGGTGAGTGGATTGCCTGAGTGCAGGGGTTCGAGACTCGCCTGGGCAGCGAGACCTCATCTCTACAACAAATAAAAAAATCAGCCGGGCATGGTAGCGCATGCCTGTAATTCTGGCTACTTGGAAGGCTGAGGCAGAAGGATCGCCGGAGCCCAGCAGGTCGAGGCTGCGGTGGCCGGGAGCGGCCACTGCACTCCAGTCTGGCGACAGAGTGAGACTCCAACTCAAAAAAAAAACAACAAAAAGACCCAGAGTGTAACGTGTTTGAAATGGTGCCTGGCATATCAGTGAACGCTATTAACCAGAGACAGGGCTGTTGTTAGAATCAGAGCAGCCAAGTAAGAGAAGACCGTAGGGCGGAGGCCCCACAGAGCACAGTGGATGATGCTGGTCGCAGGACCCAACTCTACAGAGTGAGGAAAGCAGCAGGTGTCAGGGAGCACCGTCCTCCCATAGCCCCTGGCGCGGGTCGTCGTCCCCCCCCTCGCCCCAAAGGCAGTACCTTGTTGTAGTAGCCGTAAGTGATGGTGTTGGGCACGATGCCTGCCTGCCGCATCTCCAGCATGACCCGCACAGACAGCACAGGCTGCCCGTAGTGTGAGCAGAGCTGCATCAGCACCCGGTAACATACCTGGGCCAGGGATGCACAGGTGACAGGATGACTCACTCCCAAGCCAAATCAGTCTCAGCAGGCACCCTCCTCCACCTTCCCCATTCTCAGACTTTGCTAGCCCCTGGCAGGTCCTGGGGTTGCCCCAGAGCCACCCACCCTTGCTGCTGACCCTGCCACGCTGCCCTGTCCACCGCTACCCCCTAAACATGCTCATCCACTCCGTGAGCATCTGTGGACTGTCTGCCCAGCTCTGGGACTCCCCATCTTCTTTCCCTAGTCCCTGCCAAATTTCCCTCTCTCAGTCCCATGGCTGCACAAGCCTCACCAGGCCTGGCTGGGGCATGGCCACGTAGGACTGTGACTGCCTTACCTCGTCTGGGAGCACCACCTTGCCATTCTCCATCTGACGCAGCACGTGGTAGGCTGTGTGCAGCGCCTGTACCCGGGAGGGTGCCGACCGCACATAGGCAGGCAGACACAGGAACCACAGCCCGTAGCAGTGCCCCAGCAGGCAGCGGGCCCACAGCTCGGGCACAGCTGCTGACTTCTGTGCCATCCGCTGTGCAACCTTCATCTCCTAGGTGGGACAGGGGACACACTGGGTGAGTACAATGCCAGGTCAGGCCTCAGGACGGTGTGAGAAGGGACACCTGACCTTAGGAAGGGTCTGTGCCCTGAGGAGGAACAGGCGGGACACCCCAGGCCTCAGCCCTGCCTGGAGCCCCCTGAACGGAGTCTGGCCCGTGAGCATGGATAGGTGCCCTGAAAAAGGCAGCTAGCCCTTAGAGTGTCCAGAAGATGAAGAGTTTGATGACGCCAACAATGGTGACAACGGTTAATGCTTATACAGTGTTTGTTTTTTTTCTTTTTTTGAGTTGGAGTCTCTCTCTGTCTCCCAGGCTGGAGTGCAGTGGCATGCCCATAGCCACTGCAGCCTTGACTTGCTGGGTTCAGGTGATCCTTCTGCTTCAGCCTTCCAAGTAGCTGGAACTACAGGTGTACACTACCACGCCCAGCTAATTTTTCTTGATTTATTGTAGAGATGAGGTCTGACCAAGTTGCCCAGGCTTGTCTCGAACTCCTGGGCTCAGGCAATCTTCTTGCCTCTGCCTCCCAAAGTTCTGGGATTACAGCTGTGAGCCACCATGTCTGGCCAAGATGTTCTTTTTTCTTGAGTTGGAGTCTCACTCTGTCGCCCAGACTGGAGTGCAGTGGCACACTCCCGGCCACTGCAGCCTCGACCTGCTGGGCTCTGGTGATACTTCCGCCTCAACCTTCCAAGTAGCCGGAACTACAGGCGCGCACTACCATGTCCAGCTAATTTTTTGATGTAGAAATGAGGTCTTGCCAAGTTGCCCAGGCAGGTCTCGAACCCGCGGGCTCGGGCAATCCACTCACTTTGGCCTCCCAAAGTGCGGGATTACAGGCTCAGACACCAAGCCCAGCAAGATGCTCTTTTTAAGATCAAACAGTTTTGAGGAGCTCTGAATCCTCACTCTCAATGTATACTGTACATTAGCCAAGCAGGGTTCTGGAAAGTTATGCTGTAAAGAAATCTGTCAGCTGGGCTCTGTGGCTCAGCCTGTAATCCCGCACCTTTGGGAGGCTGAGGTGAGTGGAT